GTGTCGTCATTGGTACTTCGACGACCATTCCACCATCGTGTAGTAGCCAAATCTTGAAGGGTGTGTCGAGAAAGGGAACCTAGAGAGCAGGACAGGAAAATTTGATCCATGAAGTCGTCAGCTCTCGAAACTACAACGGACGTATAGCTCGAAACAAAGGCTGCTGACTACACTACAATTCACGTACGGAGCCTATATTTCCAGTATTTGTAGCCACATGGTAATTAGATTGACGATATTTACTCTTATCTTCTAGAACTTCCTTTTATCCAAGTTTCCTTAGCCAAGTAATCTTTACAATAGTTAGCAATTATGTTGTAATGATGTTTTAGGAAATTCGAAACGAGTGGTGTTACCGTAATTACTCAGTCTTTTGTTCGATGGTGGCAATGAGGGGGGTCGTGAACTCGCACTTACCGTATAATTGCTCCTCTTACTCATTCATTTATTCGACACTACGATCAGTCCCAATCAAAACACCACCATGGCTCGACTGTTGTTGTTGTTGACCCCTTCACAGAAGGCTTTTCTTGGTCAAAGATGACTATTTCTGATTTTTCCGACCAGCCAGCCCTTTGTATTGAAGCTGCTTGCTTTCTTGGTGCTCGAACCTATCTGATTACAAAGTGCAGTTTTCATGTGAAGTCTATTGCTTAGCTGACTCGAACTGAACCAACTCAAATGCTAAACTGTTACAAAAACTACTCGCTATTTGATCATTTCCTTTCAATCAATTTTTGGGTCTCGGGAATCGATTATTGATTTTTTTGTGCCTCCTAAGATGTTTTGGCATTTTGGCAGTTTTAACTTATTTTATCTTACATAGAGGTTGATGATCAAGCACCCAGTAGTTTCCACTGAGTAAAAGCTGATGCGAATCGAACTATTTTGTAATTTGCAGTACTGCTCTAGAGGGTTCTGCTCAGCTATCTAATGTCCGAACTAGGAGTTGAAGTTCGATGATCATCACTTTTCCATTTTGGGGTAGCCATTTGAACCACTCAAACAGAACCATTCTTCAGTCCGTTTTACCATTCTGCTCGGTGCTTTTTTGATCATTTTTTGTGATCGCAAATAATGTTATAACCCAGAGCACAATATTTGTCCTGGAAAGTAATCCTATCAACCCGAGACTTCTGATAGTAGCATCCTACAAACCAGGGCTCACAGGCATGAAGTTGACTTGAGGAGCTTCTCATCGATTTCTCGTCACGTGCCGATTAGAGCGTAGTTGTTGGGCATGTAGGAGGTTACCAGGTGGATGACTTCCCTCCGTAAAGCTTCTAAAAGAAAGAGTTCCTTAAGGTAGGCTTTTTTGTTCAGTTCTAGAAGCTAAAGACAGCCTTGCCTGAAGAGCCCTCGCTTACCACCGCAGGGAAAAAATGATTTTCATCCTAGATCGAGATGTGTAGATTCATCCACCATGAAACATCATCTCTTTCGAAATGCTTGATTCTCTTCATAATCCTTCAAGGCTGGAAAGCTCCCAAAAAGTCATCATTCTTCGCTTTGAATCGGCGGATCTGGTGTAGTGGTGTGGGGGACATCACACACGCATGGTCCGGACATCAACTCCCAGATCGATACTCGTTCACGTCAAGTAAGAACTCCACTTCTCCTAGATGGGGTGAGCGATTCCAGGATCCTCTGGGAGGATAAAGGCACTGCCTTGAACGTTAATTGGCCATTGCAATTCATTGTAAAGACCACATACGCATTCAAACTGCCACAACGATTTTGAGAGGAAGTCGAATGCAGGGGACATCCCAAAACGGGATTGATTAGCGCCAAAAAATTAGCACTAGATTTTTTTAGCACTAGAATTTTACTATGAATGTTGTGAGAAGTAAACAAAACACAGACAAAGTTCTGTAACGATTTCATGGTATATTCGTTTAAAGAACACCCTTAATAGGCTCCTGCAGACCTACCGGATTCCCCTATCTCCCCAGATTTATTCCTTCTTCAAAGGCTGGTCAGTCCGAGTTCGATATGTGAGATGTAAATGCCGGCATTAGTTGATCACCAGAGCTCTGTCTCCCGGAGTTGAGATGACCAAAACCCTTGAATATTTTCATGATTTTGGCTAAAACTAAGAGCACAGCGCAACCCAGTGGTAGCAATTACCGTCAGTTTTCTGTTCAAATGTTAGACAGGTCTCGATTCCCAGCAGTAGCACTTAAGTAGCCAGAGTCCTTATAGAACAACTGGCGATTGCTTTTTTTCGTGGTAACAATGATGTATGGTCGCCATTCATCAAGGCACAAACGGTATTGACCTCATACGTCCGTCGTCGTTTGACACTTTAACAGCCATTCCTAATGTAGTGCAGGGTTAAGAGGCAGCCGACATATGGACCCTTATTGTACTCTTTGCGCAACGCTCCACACACACACACACAGACATCCTCCTCTTCCCCCAGTTCCAACAGCCAACAGCAGCCTCAACACCATCAACATTCAATTACGCCAATCATCCATTCACAGCCAACAAGCACCGACGAGGTTTAGGGCAATTCCTTCAGAATATCTGATAAATCTGGCCAATGCTCCTCTATTCGTCTCGTTTAAGAGTAGCTCTCACCCATAGATTCTTGAGAAGTTTGAAAAATTCCCATAAGGGTGACTTCCCCACCCCAATGGGCCCTACGTAGCATCCATGCCTCCAGATCCAACGGAGTTCTTGTAGTGTAGAGGAAATTACTGTGAACTTGCTTCCAGAATGTCAGTTTCCAGTTCTGCAGATGATCACTCTAGCCCATCTTTATGAGCAAGAAGACTTTTAAATTTGACTCCTAAGCGATCCAGCTGATGTAGGAAGTTGCCTAATAGAGAGTTTGGGAAGGTAGTGCTGGAAAAAATGTCCATGTGCTGCTTCTAAGGAGAGTCAAAGTTTTGCTGAGCATTTCTCATTGAAGGCAAGTCATCTAAGACATTATCTCAGCTGAAGACCATTCAAAGTCTATGATTGACTGATTCCGAAATGTACCTGGCATGCTGGCCCTTGAACTACCCACAGAATTACTTCGAGAAGAGGCCAACAGGCCCCTAACACCTTCTACCTCTACCCATCTTCTTCGTTTGTGGTCGCAAGCACTTTTTTGTTATGTATACTGTCTTGACATACGCTTCCTCTTCACGACTATCCATCCGCAAGTCGTTTGTCTCCCTGAGTTTTGGCTCAGGTCATTCGCAAGTCTGGGTGGACCTGACTGAGTTCGACTTTTTCGTTCTCACAAGTAACCTCGACCAGTTTTTCCTAGCAGTGAAAACCTAACCGTTCGTTAACTTTTTCTGGTACAGCTCTGAGTTTTTCGACGATCCTCATATAACTGACCTTCAGCGTAAACTCACTTCTTTCAAAAAGCTCAGTACTCCCCTGTCTCATAGATCACTGTCAGCAGAGGGGGAGTATTCAGAAACATCACGAACTGGCTTTCATGAGTGACAGCGTAAATAGAAATGTTCCAGACTCCTGCTGATATCGTTTCATCCTCCAAATATTTATAGCTAGGAACAGACATCGATTCATATGCAAACGAGCCCTCAAAAACACTACGGCCTCCAAAAAACCATGATGAACTCCATCTACTACTAACACTAGCCAATCCTTTGCTATTAGTTGTACTTGGAAGCATTTGAAAACCCATCGCTTTGAAAACTTTAAGGTTGTGCAGAACGCGTATGCCAACCATATCGCGGTGTGTAGCCCGGATTTCTCCTGCGATTTTATGGAAGCTTCTGAGGTTTTAATGTTAGGACGTGACTCTCGCGTATACGCATGACATCCTCGATCCTACTACTACTTCTTCCTTCTTACTTAGCCAACAATGACCAAATTGACCACCCATATTCAACACCTACTTCTTTACGAGTTCGAATCCGGACACTCCACAGCTGGAACCAATTGAAACTCGTGTCAAGTATTTGCCCTTGATCTTCTTTCTAAGCGATTCTGTGCGCATATGATTTCAAATTTTCACAGCCTGAAAGAAAGAGGTCGAAGACGACCCTCGATTTGGTTAGCCGACCGACACCACGAAATCTTCCGATACATCATGCGCATGGAGGTGAGAAGCGTCTTTCTGTAGTATTTCCATGGGACCTTCCAGAGAATTCCACGGAAATCTTCCAAAATTCCACTGTCTGAGACGAGCTATGTATACGGAGCATTTAGAGCCTTTCCGAACCAGTCACAATTCTTACTCTGAGCCATAGAAAATGTGATGGATCAACGGGGCAATATTGGATACAGCAGTTACATATAATTTCTGAAGATATTTTCAAGTTCTACAACCTTAAAGTACCTTAGGAACTTGAAATTTGAATTTTGAGAACGTTTTATAGTAAACTTCTGTATGACTACGATGTATAAATCGATAGCTAGATTGGAGTAATTACGGTAGCTGAATGAGTGGATGGTAGCTGTGTAATTAATTGGTACTTGAGAAAAGCACAGTAGACTACTGTATTTGGGTGGATGCAGCGTATGGCCATTCGCTGGCGAGTACAGCCACTTGATCTTCATGAGCTCAAATTTATATAGGTTATTAAAGCTGCTCAATAATTAATTGAAAGTATCCATTGGATTACGGTAAACAGACAACATTGAGGCTCCAATAAGATACCAGAAGGAATAAAGCTAGTTTACTGTAGACAGGTGAGCTCGAAACTTCCTCAAAGCTACTTTTTGCTATGCGTTCACATTGTAATATGTTTCTGTTAGCAGAACTTTGATAGTACCCTTCAAGCTGAACGGTTAAAAGCATCAGAGCTGACATGACTCGATTCTCACCAACTTTTTTGGATCAGTCATTGTCAACTACTGCTCTGGTAACTTCAGTTGTCTAAAAGCAACCCCCATGCCAAACATATATTAATCTAGGATGACTTTTAGTTACATTTGTTCGATATTATATTCGATCGACGTCCTCGAATACGTACCCTTTCCTATGAAGTAGCTCAAACATCAGTCAACGTCATATTACAGATTCGCCCAGTATGCAGTCTGAAGAGTCCGATTATATCAAAGTGTTGAGGATCAAAGGTACGTTCAGTTCTGCAAAGCCTATTTCATTGCTCGACCTGATGAATGCTGGAAAAAATCCCTCCCGTGAATGGTACTGTACCCTGCTAGATATTCTACGGGAATGGAATAGGAATCGAAATCGTGGATTCCTTCAGTGGCTGGGAAAGCCTCCATTTGCCTTTGATAGCCAATTTATAGCTATGTACAGATCGATGTTGACAAGCCTTGGAAGCCACAGAACATCAGCGTCAGGGTCATGAAACAAGCCATACCCGTCAAACAATTCCCAATTTTCTAGCTGTCAATTGAGATAGAAGAGGCGTATTGTTGGAGTTCTGGATTCCGAAATGGCCCCATAACTTTGGGTGGGAGTGTGGGGCTCAATCTCTGCCTTCTTAATTAGCCAATAGAGTATGAGAAGAGGCTATGAAGGATCGGTCACTCAGTTGATAACAGAGTGGCGTACTTTTGAATCCCCACGGTTGCCCACACCTGGCAGTGGTTTTGTATCAGTTATCGTTACCATTAACTCTGAATTCTAATTTTACCCTTACTTTGTTCTGTGTAGTAGAGCTCATTCCTATAGGAACATTCTATGTAGTACATAGGGCAGTCAAGAGAGACCGCTTCTACCTATTGTGTCATTTCTGTCATCACTCCGTTAGCTGTTCTATATCTTCTTAAGAACTAGAAAATCGAATATCGATCGTAGTTCATTCACTTTCGTTCAACCTCTTTTCTATATACGCCTGTGGACCGAAAATTTTACCTTTTCGTCTCACCCCTTCCTGCAAGTGATCATACAGTACCAGGGTCGGGAAGTCAATGGAAGCTTCGGACGACCCTAAGCTATCTAGGGTACACACTTCTGACAGAGGGCACACTAAAGAGTGCAAGTAACACAATTTGCATCCAAAAATAAGCCCTCAGGTAAAGTACGAATAGAGGATCAAGTAAAGCGACTTCAGGGGCGAATGGCGAGGAGAGAACGCTACAGTTTCCAATGAAACTCGATCTTGAACGTCCAAAACGACCACGGACCACATTTTCTGAAGAACAGCTTCGTTTACTTGAAGAAGCCTTCCAAGAGAATGGCTACCTCACTGGAGAAGCGCGAATGGCTTTGGCTGCACGACTTGCCCTCAGTGATACTCAGGTGAGTCATTCTTCACCAAGGGTCATGCTTTTCATGGTCATTCAACAGAACAGCCGGTATTGATAACCATTTATTACCATTTCAGGTGAAAGTCTGGTTCCAAAACCGAAGAACCAAGAATAGAAGGAAGGTAAACCTCGAAGAAGGAAGGTTGGCGAAGTATCTTTTCTCCAAGTTATAGAAGGCTTAGGCAAATCAAAAGGGTTGGAGACCTTCTTGTGACCTTATCTAAAGCCTGGGTTCAGAGAAACTGCATATTTTGCGATTCAAGCTGCAATTTTTCACCCCACTTACCCATCTTTTTTGTCACTAATAGCCCTAAAAGAGCTAGCCCTTTTAAATAGCGAGAGACAGCGGTATTTTTATTACAGTACTAACTTTGTGTGCACCAAAAGGGGAAAATTACGATTTTGGATCATGGTCAGTAGGTCCAGCCCTAGATGGATCGGCTGTGAGAACTTCTACCCTAACGGCGTGTTGCGCCGCACCCGCCGCGCGGTCAATGTAAGCGTCGGACTTCACTTATCAGGGAGTGGTCAAGGTAATATCAGCAAAGCCGCTCGCGTGCGTGCATGCGACTGTGGGAATTCGGGCACAACGTCCACCTTCCCAGATGAACGTCGTCTCATAGACTGTATCTAATACCCTGTTACCACTCCATGGTCGGGTGATTATAATAGGTTCTTTCCGGAGAAGCACAGGGGTTCTGAATTTCGTAGGTCACTGAAATTGAGTGTCAGTGCACTCCAATTTATTACACGAATTCTGATGAAGCCTAAATGCATGGCGTGTCCGAAAAAATGATTTATTGGGCCTGAGATTGGTATGGGAAATTTGCACTTCTCTTGACGACATTCGTAAACGAAGTTACATAATAAAACCAGACTTAAAAATTCGCTAACTGCATAGAAGTTGTGCCTCCTGGCTCACGTTTCCCGTTTTCAGGACAACCCACACAGCATCACCACGTACGAGTGCTCCTGCTCAGAACTATTCACCACAAAACAACCTACAGTATTCTAACTATTCTAATTATATGTATCCACAGCACTTTGTCACATCAACATCATTCTATCCATATTCGACGCCGACACATTCGCAGATTCCATTTTTACAGGATCTTTGAATCATTTATCATATTATTGTTTATTTATTTTTTTCAATTGATAAATTTTCTCAAGAAATACCTTGGTGTTCTTGTTTACGTGAAGGTCCGCTGCCGAAAGGATTAAATCAACAGGTTGAAATATTGCAATGGATGATGGCAAGGTAGTTAATGGGTGTGTCAGAAGATCTTCTCGGTGTAGCTCGTCAGCACAAGGTCATCGTCACCGTGCGCGGTACTTCTTGATAATTGGGAGAAGTCAGAAGGCTTCCACCAGCTCTCGGTTCGTCAACTAGATCATTGCGATGAGAAAGTGACCGAATGTATACCCATTGCTACAGATCTCTAAAAATCCACATTGATCCACTATGCTCCCACTGTCATAATTCAAGTGTTCTTATACTCTGAACGAATGCCTCGCTGCAGCTGGACCCGGAAGCCGTCAAGATTACCTCCTTTCCAAGATCTATTCGGATGAGTTGGTGAAACTATCTCGTAAAAAAAGCTTGTATCCTGGTACTCTACAAAAATACTTCCAAAAGTATTTGGACCTTATCTATGCACTCCACCACACCAACCTTGACCAGAGCGAGTGGGAGCAAGTGTATGAATTTAGCCTACTGTTCCTCACCAATTCGTTTATGTAGGATTTTATGTTTATGTAGAGGCTCTGCCATAAATGACCCACAGGGCTGCCCGCAAAACTGTTTGCTGAGAAGCCACAGGTAAGAGCCAGGAAGTGGGCGTGGCTCACATGCAATGACGCGCAAGTCACGCCCAATTTTCCGCTCTAACCTGCTCTTGAGAAAATTCTGAGTAGGGTGCAAAATAACTATCGCCTGTTTGTTCAGTTAAACTTCGTCGCAATCCAATATCTCAATAATGTAACAACTCCGTTTCTAACTTACCAGTCGGATCGCCCAGCTAACGCCGGGCTCTCCTCCTTCTTATGTAGTAGAGACAAAGATTGGTACAAACAAACAGGGATTTATTTTCGATGAATATAACATGAAACTGTTTCATTCTAATAATGACTTCCTCGGATAGTGCTTGGTCAGGGGATGATACAGAAAGTCGCTAAGGAAGCATACCTATCTA